TGAGCGGTCTTTTTTTAGGGTGCAAATGTGTATGATTAGTTGTATCTGCAATAAAGAATCCTGATCACACTATGTGCACTGTGAGTGCTATATTATAGAAAATGGCATACTATTTTGCAGATCATTGTTTTAATACCTGACCATAGAGTAAAGAATAAGAGATACAATGTATTGTTACAAAAATAAATGCTTATTTCAAGTCAAATATACTTATATAATTTATTAACAAACTCTAATCAACAAACTTGATGGGAAAATTCTGACGGGGTGGGGGGGGGGGGGGTGCATGATCGAAAACACGTACTTGGCTAAAAAAGATGAATTACTTAATTGAAAATCCTAGATTCTCATTCAATTCTTTTGAGGTGGGGGATTTTATTTCATATTGTTCAGTTTGTTCTTCCAGACTTTCTTGTTAACTTGATCTATCGGTGCAAAGTAAATATAAATAATAATGCCCAAATAAAATTCACATTGCTCCATTTAAATGTTCATGTCTCTTACTATACATCCTTACCAATCTTTCACAACCAATGATCCTTGTTACTTACGATCTATTACCATCTTGTCAGACGGTCAGTTGTCAAATTTTCAGACCGACCTTTGTGGGATTATTTGAATACCGATCCCGATCAGAATCAAGACAAAGAAAAACTAGGGGTGGACAAATAGGGGAGGGTGGGAATGACAATTTAGAAATATTTTCATTATGGCCTAATATCTTTCATTTATTTTTTGTATTCACTTGTTAGAGGTAGATACTTAGTAACAACATTTTCTCTTTAATAATATGTATTATTTGTACCTTGCTTGGTCTTCCCTTAAAATGGGGAATGTTTGTTTTGGACTGATCCATTCCATCAATTATGAGGCTTATGTACCTATCTGGTCTTCTTCTGCTTACTGTTTTTCGTCTGTAATATGCACTTTTCTCTTTCCTAAAAAATAATTATTCGATAGAAAAGTTTTAACTTGCAGATTAAATCAATATTTCTTCGATCAGCATATTTTATGTGCGCGTATTTTGAATTTTGCTATATCAATTATGAATTATGCATACATCACAAACAACAACATCATTGTTGCATTGTTATAGTATGAATGGAAAACTGTGAATAACATTAAGCAATTTATTTATTTTTAGTGTTACTAAGTCTGTTCGATAAGTTCCTTATTAAATTCTGTTATGAAAAATTCAAAAACATACTGTACATCAATTCATGTATTAAAGCTCAGAGATTAACTTGAATTACACTTTGAGTTGATGACAGATTTTTTCATTGTTACGCAGTACTACATATACTTGCGATTTATGCTACATTGTAAATAAGAAGTTGATACATTATGTATTTACATTTGTCTGTGAAGATGTTCTTGCTTCTTTATAAAAATTTCCTTTTTTTTCTCTGGGTTCAATTGCTTGTGCAGTTCTCTGTCAAGCTTGTCACATGTAGTGCATCGAGTAAACAAGTTGCTCTGTAATACATAGAGGTATCCAATGATATGAATTGATCAAACAAAAGATTTATATAACACTACTTAGAAATGATGAACTTGTAGTCTGTGATTACACAATTGTTAAAATAGGAAAATTGCTCACCTGTTTAATTTTCACATGTGGAAAGTGTTCATTCCATATGTTGAGGAAAGTCTGAAGAGATACACAAGCTCTGTTCTCTTCCTCTGTATCCACTTTATACCCAGCATAAATTTCATTTTTTCTTAAACCAAAGGGCAGCCAAATTTCTTGGATGTGAGGTGGATTTTCTCCTCTCATCGCTATATATTCTCCAAACCAATTGATAACATGAAGTCTTTTTTCTGATGTTAGCCTTCTTTCGTTAGAGGGTGGCACTTCTTTCCTCAACCATGTTCTTCGTTCCTTGTAATAGATTGATTGCTTAATCCCATAAGCAATCAACCAACTCTTCAAGCAAACCCTGTGGCCTTTAAGAATGAATTTAAAGGTTCCCTTTTTTACACATTGAAAGTCATCAAACTTTCTTTGAAACCATTTTGGCCTATCTGTGGTATTCAATCTCCATAATGTCGAATGGCAATTTTCAATTAATTCTTTTGTGAAAAAGCTTTGCCTAGTACATTTCTTTGGACAAGAACACTGATCTAGAGAGGCCTTTTTAATAGTGCTTTTGGAGATCTTTTTTTCTTGAAGTCGAGATCTTGATGACAGAGCAACTGAAATATAATTATTAATAATTTGATTGCATAATACAAGAAGTTATTGATTTATACTATGTTCAGAGTTGAGAGATCTTGAACAAGAGGTACATGGGCCATAGTGCTCACATGATTTCCTATGGCCATTGTGGATTTTCTCTATACACATGTATATTCCTACATCGAGCTTTGATTGCCCATTGTGGCCCCAACCTATCCCCAAGGGCATGATTTGAACAAAATTAAATCCACACTACTGGAGGATGTTTATATGTATTAATAAATACAACAAATCATAAGAATCTAGAGAAGAAGATTTTCCTTATGTACATGATGTATAAATTTCTATGTTGACAAGCTTGGATCACCTATCCAGTCCCAACCTACCTCCGGGGGTAATAATTTGTACACTACCTGAGGATGCTTCCAAACAAAATGAAAATATAACCTTGCTTTTGCTCTTCTTGAGAAGATTTTTAAAGATAGAAAGAAGATTGATTGGCCCATCCTATAGCTGAGGGTCATGATTTGAACAAATTTGAATGCACTATAGCACAATATAGCTTGCACTCTGGCAAAATGGGTCTTGAGAAGAAGATTAGAAATATGTCATTGATTTATCTTCAGTATCTCACTATGAAAGAGGGTGTGGCCCTTCATTTCACAAACTTGAAAAGAGAGAGTGTAAGTAAGAGGATACAAAAATTTTAAAATAAAAGTTTTGAATTATATGATTTATTAAATAAACATTGAGAAAGCATATAACATAATTGTAAATAACTTTTGTTAAATCTGTGAAGCACATAAATTCAGAGGAATTTAAACACGGAAGGGCGGGGTGGGGGTTATGAGTGGAAAAAAAATCAATAGAGATGGTGTAACTTCTTAATAGCATGATTTCTAATTTAATTTATTTAGCACAAAATACGTATGTTTTCATTTGAGACCTTGAGAGAATTACCTCGGTATACTGATTCAGCAGATATCTTTGATATATGTAAACTGTCTTTTTCTTTTCATTTATGTACATTTTACGGGTAGCTTTATTCATATAATTTATTCCTTTTAAACTTTACAAACAGGATTGTGTGTGTGGGGGGGGGGGGGGGGTGTAAAATCTTCATTCAAAAGAAAGTCATCAGGTAATATTAATTAGAATTTTTAATTATTAATGGCACATCTTTATTGTTTTTCTTTTGCTTTTTTCCCTGCCCCAGGTTCCCTTGGACCTGACAAATTCTGTAACTTTCTATTGCAGTCCATGTTTTTCTGTATTTCCAATTATAAGTCTAGTTTACTGCTGTTAAAAAATACTAATTTACCTCATCAGTACTACACTTGGACTGGATGAATGTGAAAATTCTACTTGAAAATTCTGTCATAAACTTTGAATTAACACCAAGTCTCAGAGATCCATTCTCTCCCTTCCAAATAATACATAAAATTTCATTATCTTCCTTAATAGATTTCTACCCTTGTTAAAAAAAATCTGAACATAAAAAAATATAAAATGTACACTATTGATCATTTTTCTGAATCCAGAACTCAGACTGTCTTTCTTAAACAGTTAACTTGTAAAATGAATTTACACTTCTTTCAATGATGAAGGCATGTTCATTATAAATAAATAGTCTTCATTTCTTATATTTCTGCAAGGCAGAAGCTCCCATTTGGTTTACACGTCTTTGATTCTATAGACCTTATACATGTCATTTGAAATTTTATTATTTTCCATCATTTTTAATGAGGAAAAAATAACAAATTTTATCTTAACTTAAAAATGACTTATTTTTTTCCTAACAAGATCTCTGGAATTCAGGACCTCCAGATCCCTCCCCAATCAGCTTGTACTCTTATAACTTTAAATCTTGGATAGCCCCTTCTCAAAATCATATGCTACGTATGTGTACTGCTGTGTTTGCAAATTTTGGGGCTTGTTAAAATTCCCATCTTCAATGATTTTTTGGCATTAAATCAGATAATGATTTAAAAAGTTCTGCAATCATTTATAAACTTGTATACCTATCATATAATTAGCCATATTATCTAACCATAGTTTAGATACAAATTTAAAATACATCTACCTTGTATTACTTGAAAAATTATATAAAGGTTCAGTGATGTGTTGATAACAAAAATTATTATAATTTTCTTAAGCAAACTAAGCATATTTATTTGAAGTTTATGATCATATACATGTATGAATGAAGTTAATTTATATTAAGTATACATACCTTTAATATGTTTCTTAGGCGTACTGCTCATTAAAGGCTCAATAAAATGTAAATTTCCAAATGGCTCTGAATCGGTGGAACATCCACTTGTTTGTAAATCGGATGATATAAGAGAAAGTTCTTTACTTATCTCACTTGATTGTTCATACAAATCTTCTTCGCGTATATAAAACGCTTGAACAGGAGGAGGCGTGTCATCACAGAATGAAAATACATCACGGTTAGTATGAGTAGATATTTCATCAGATTCTTCAAATTCGGACAATTCTTGCAGTGATCCTGTTAAACAATCAGTACGAATACCATGACCTAACGATGATTCATATTCCTGTGATTCAATAATAGAATGCTCAGAAAAAATATTGTCATCCATTCCACTAAAAATATCTTGAATGAAATGGCATATTGCAGTTAAAATTTTTTTGGTTCTAATTCATCTCCAATTTTACCACCTTCTGCAGTTCCATGCTTTCAGTGGAGAAATGTCAATCAGACTCATATACTGATAAGATTAAGGGGCGTGCTTTCTGTGAGCATGCAATTCCAGACCCATGTATGCAGCACATGTCATCCATACCTCGATCTGACAAGGTGCAATATGTGGTCCATTTCAAAGTCAGAAAATGCAGTATTTATGAAACAGAAAGGCAGCATAGTTGGAAAAGTATGGGATATTGCAGCTGCCAACAACAAGGGATGCATCAAGGTATAATAGGCTAAAATATATATTTAAAATAAAAAGGATTACATCAAAGACCACAGATGTGTAAAAAAAAAAAAAAAAAAAAAAAAAAAAAAAAAAAAAAGACTCCGATTTATCAATTATATTTTTATAAATGATTTTAGAAAGAAATGCTTATTTTTTTAACTGACACAACTCCTTATTAGTTTTTTAATCTACAGGTAAAGCTAATGAGTTCAAGTTTGGTACAAAAAAAATCAGAGAAATATTAAGGAATTTATTCATTTATTTAGATTATGATGAATGGCCTCGACAAAATTATGCGTCTTGAGGATTTCCATGCAGAAGACAATGAATACTCAAGCTTATTTGCTGGACATCTTAGCAGTAGACATTCATTTGTAGAAAGATGGAGAACCTTTAAAAAATCAGGTATGTTTTCTTATTAAAACTTAACACTGCTTGCATAAAGTTTGCAAATTTAGGAAGTTGATAACTAGAAACTTTTTACATATTACTTGGAGATATATAGGTAGGATGAACATGCATGTCCATGCATATTAATTTAAAGAAAATATTTTTCTTTTCTTGTATGAGAAAAATCAGGAATTTTATTGGAGTTTTCAGTAAATGGATCAAGATAATCTCCAACTTCACTTATTTTCTAAAATGCTTTTAAATGAAAAAATCTGATTCAGAAGGAATACTAAGTTTTGCGTAATATTAAGATGCAATAAGATTTTTGAAGGGACTTCTAAAAACATTTAATCAATTTTGTAAGCATGGTAACATTCCCATATGAATTTTAAAAATGGGGATGGGGGGACAGTGACTAAAAAAATATGGTAAAATTTTGAACAATTTCATGCAGGGATCACCATCATGCATTAATTCACAATCCCCCACCATGTATCAGCAGTAAAAATAAATGGCTACTAATTAAATTGACAGTACTTCATGACTTGCTTGATTTTAATATCCTGTAAAAAAAAAATCTTAACTATAACATTCTTAAATGTTTAGATGTATCTGTTTCAAAGCATCTGTTATCTAAGAAATTAAATCAAAGCCACAAGCTGGCCAGTGATTTGTTTACGTCTTTAGGTCAATTACTTTTTGCTGTATTTCATGGAAAACTCTTCTATCAAACCAATAAAACTTTCTAACTGATCAACCTACTTCTGCAGCGATAATAATTATATCTAGCAATTATTAACTCCATTAATCAACTTGGCATTTCCCGACCTCTTAAAACTTCATCAGATTGAATTTAATACAACTCAGTCAAATCAATCTAACAGCTGTGTAAATTACAGCTAAATAGACATACCATTAATTCCCTCAATATTACAGTTAGGCCCTCAATGCATCTAGGAACATTAACTCGCCTTCATCAACTCAGACACAAACAATTCACTGATACGTGTATGATCTCCTTCAATATAAAAACAAGAAACATATTGGCCGCAAACCAATTGTTCCTTTATGAGGCAACAAACTGAATTACGTGATCTGTTATTAATATATCTGATATTAATCTGTTAATTTATCCTGGTGAAATAAAACAGCTAGTGCATGCACATTGCAGGTGCGGAGTTTCAACAACAACCTAATTTTCTTCACAAATATTTGGGACTCCTCTCTCTCTCTCTGTCTCTCTCTCCCTCACTCTCTCTCTCTCAAGCAAATCCAAAGGAGGGTGTTGAAACCCCCACGACCCCCCTCTAGATCTGCCACCACAGTTTCTTTTGTTTTGGTGTTGAATTGTGGCGGGAAAATGCTTTGCACATTGTAAAACGCCCTGAATCCTCGTCTGCTGGAGCAAAAATTTCGTAATATTCTTTCTTTTAAGAAATGAAAATTTTATTTTTAAAAATTTCAGATAGGAAATGTATATATATACGTCATTTTAAAACAAATACAATTATAAATTCTATTTAAATAAAGAAAAAAATAATCATTGTATATATATATATATATATATATATATATATATATATATATATATATATATATATATATATATAGGTAAACTTCGTTATCTCGACATCGACGGGACCATCGGAAAATGTCGAGATATCCGAGGTGTCGAGATATCAGAGTTGAGACTTGACGTCCAAGATTTCACTGCATAACCAAACACATACATGTGTATAAGCTAATTATACAGTTATACGTACATGACTTCAGTATAGACTGTAGGTCAACTTATTTCAGCAGTCCCTTCATTTTTTTTTATTAAAAATCTAAGAAATTATTTTTAAAAATCTTATTTATAAAACCTGTTCTTTCTCTATCAAAATCGTTCTAAATTTTTGTAGTTTTCCATCTAGCATTCGCGTGTTACTTGCTTTTTTGTCAGAACAGGATACGAAATGCGCTCTATAAACTTCGAACCGAACCGTATAAACATGATAAAGTCGACATCCGAGATAAGAAAACATATTAAATGCGTAATTATTTTTTTTTTCTTATTTCATTCAGGAAGAATGTGCATTAATATTAATTTTTTAAGAGATTTGTGTATCTAAACTAACGAAGTGATATTATAGATGCATGAATTACGGATGATTCGGTTAATAGTGTCGTTAATCGGATTATTTCCTGTTGAATGCATTTTAACTACAAAATCTTTTAATTCTTTAGTTTGAATTTATTCAATATGTTTATTATTCTTTGTAATTTAGTTATCTTTTTCAATTTTAAAAGTTATGTTAGGTTTCGACATAAATAAACGCCTGTAAATTTAAGCAGAATCGTATAGATTTATCAGTGATATTACCCAAGCTGAACATTAAGCAATTAACGTCTCAAAGACGCCGAGGGGGCTTTGGATTCACCTACAAACACAGTCTGTAAAATTAATTAAGTAGCGTGTAGTCAAAACATGGGTGTGAAAGGTGTGAATTTTTGACGACGTCGAGATACCCGGAGCCGTCCGTGCGTGACGAGCGACCCTATCTGACAAACAGTTAGGTTCAGTGGAGCAGAAAATTGCCGATGTCGACATATCACCTATTCTCACATAATCCGTCCACATGCAGCCTAACTTTCATTAAAAAAATAAAGTCATTATTTGGGGGAGAAGTCGATGTTTTTTAGCAAACAAATCATGGGAGAATTATTTTTCAAAATATCAGAACTCAACCATGCATGATGACAAAAATATTCAATATGCAGTATAGGTAGTGTATTTACCTTCGTAATTTACGTTATTATCTTACGTCGAAATGAACCCGTCAAAAATCGTTTTATTGCCAAAATGAATATTCAGTTTCACTTGGATTTTTTTAGCACTATGTCTGTACTAATAAAAATACTTCGAAAATTTTGTTTTTTGCCAGTGTTTTTCTCTTAATTTGTAATTAACAAATTTTATTTGCTTTAATCTTATTTTTCAACTGAAATAATTCTGTTCCTTCTCACTAGAAATGTTTAAGCTGAATTCCTGTGCGACTTACTTTTATGTTTATGAATCATAAGAGAAGAGGATTTTAAAATTTAATTTGGGAAGAGACTGTGAAAATTCTAAATTGGTTTTTCTTAAAGAAATATATTGATAACGTAAATTACAATTTTACTGGTATTCAAACCAAAAATTAATATTTTCTTGAACTTATTTTCATCCATCTAATGACATGCATTATTTTCAATTGCCCACAAAATGCCACAAACACTGATTATTTTTCATCCTTTTGAGAGATTCACAGTTAAATATAATGACAATGTAAGATCTGCTGTTGGTATGTATTTTTTCCTATCTTTCTCTAGTTATGCCTCTCCCTATTTTTTCCTCTTTTATTCCCAATATGCTTTTTTAATTTCTGCTTTTGACTTTACAATCTCTGTTAAATGAAATCTATGAAATATAATTACGGAGAAAGGCAATTAAATTATATTTAATTTATGTTATTTTTACTGTAATTTACGTTATGAATGTTTTGCTTCATCAATTAATCAATGAAGAGAGATTTATGCGTAAAATATTGCTACAAATAAATAGAAGTACACCTTGTTTGTAAAATCAACTGAAATTCACGCCAAAAATACATCTTTGAGGAATTATTTGAAAGTTGTTAAAGGTAACACGTAATTTACGTTATCTGATGGCGCTTCCTGCATCAGATCTACATCGGAAGTTCGGTGATGTTAAGATGCTTTCGAGAAGAAACCAATAACGTTTCCTGCATGGTTCCGTATTGTCCCGACGTCTTATTTGCAAGATAGGTACCATATATGTATTATACTGATAACGTAAATTACATAACGTAAATTACTTTCTATCAGATTAATTGGTGTAAAATGTGTAGTCGCACAGATCAATGTTCGTTTTAATATTTTACGTGTTTGGTAGGTCAGGAAGAAGAAATAAATTAATATGCAAAGACAATTTTACTTGTATTCTTTAAGTATCGTTGATAACGTAAAATACATCCTTAAAACGAACCACTCACCTCTGGTTAAAAGACCAATGTGTTTCTGTAAATATTCTGTCATATAACTTTTCTTTGTTTCTGATTGCATTTTATGGACTTTGTTGGATATTCTAGTAGATATTTTATGTTTTTAGATGCCCTTTTATGCTGTTTACACAAATACTAAGATTTTGATAACGTAAATTACAGAAATTTAGCGACAAAGTTATTTTATATTTTTTAAAAATTTCACTGTAGACAAATATCTAAAAGTGTGAAAAATCAATATATTCATGCATTGTTATATGTAAAAGTCGTGCTTTTTAGCATAAAATGTACTTGTTTTGTTTTATTCATTGGTCCAAACTTTGCCTTTTGCCTAAGCGACAGATCGAGAAGCCATTTATTAGACTATATACTTGGATCCCAGGGAAGTTTTAACCTGTGTATTAACACTTAACGATGTTGGTTTGGTAACTAGACGTATCACAAACGAAAACACTACAAAATTTACCAATTATTTTAATAATAATGTAATTTAAATTGCTTGCGACATCCAAATAGCGCATATGGACGGATTATGTGAGAATAGGTGATATACCAGGTAAATTTTGCTCTTGGGACTGTGAATATACGTCGAGATAACCAGGGTTGTCGAGATTACAGAGGTCGACATATCAGAGTTTTTGCAAATCATTTATATAGTAAATACTGCCGGGACCGCGGACGGACGTCGACATATCCCAGGTTGTCGACATATCCGATGTCGAGATACCGAAGTTTACCTGTATATATCTTTGTCTTTGCTTTAGGTGATGCCCAACACGTGTACTAATATGAGTTCATAATTCAGGATTCGATCAGATAAAACATGTACCCATTTTTTTTTATTCAAGTTAAATTTATGCTTTTTTGTTAAACATTTAGACACTATTTATTAATATTCTATATGATTGTTAATTAAATACTTTTATTTTTTTAACTCCGCAGAAACGCACGACTACTTTAAACTTTCATATCAAATAACCGACCGCCTCCTGGCGGCCGGTAATAATGCACAACCTATCAGTAAGACTACAATTCTAATAAACAAGACTATAAAATTCCATACTTATATTATATAAATGCACCCAGAAAATAAGGAATTTTCACATTATATTATGAAGTGTTTCCTTGATGAATCTGTAACATGGCCATAGGAACCGGGAAAAGGGGGGGGGGGCATGGGGGTGCCCCCCCCCCCCCCAATAATTTTGCCGATATATAGAACACTATAGAAAATATGGCTTATACCATTCAATTGTGCCCCCTCAATAATAAAGTTTGATGGCCTTTTTCTGTTAAGAATTTTTTGTAGTTGATATAGTGCCCCCAAATCAAATGTGTGCAAAACGCGAACACACCGTGCCCCCAAATAAAAAAATATGTATATGGCTCTGCCCCCCCCCCCCAAAAAAAAACTAAAATTGCTTCCCATGGGCCTTTGTAAGTCCTTTTAAAAGTTTTGAACCACTATTAAACCACCCACTCCCTAAAAAATAAATAAGTTTTACAAAATGCATATAGAATTTTCTAAAAACAGTTAATTAGGAAGGCATGACTGAAACAACCTGCATGTGGTAGAATCACTGCATTTTTTGCCTAAAGCCTAGGCATCAAAGGAAAATTGAACATGTCACAGTTGTAATTTAATTATAATTAAATATATGCTTTGTACAATTTATTAAGTGCCGTAATCGAATTGGCTCACATAGTCAATCAGATACAACCAGTTTGGCTGATATATGTGAGACTTTTTTTGAGTGTTTTGTTGTGTACAGGTGAATTTCTATTTATGTATGACCATATGCATGATTTTACTAATTTGTGTGCACTATATTATAAAATAAGAAATTAATTCCGCCAAATTCCTCACCCCAAGCTCTTGTGCCTTTTCAGTAGCAAATCACATATTTAATTAACTTGGATTGATTCAATCGATGCATGTTTTAATTGCAGAAGGAACAAGAGCGTGACCCTGTGACAAACAGAAACTTAAGGGAAAAATCAATTCTTTCATGATCTGGGTTGTACATTTTGGAAATGCAAGCATGAAAACTAAAAAAAAAAAAAACGCATTTTATTAAATTATAATGAGGGGGAGGGGTATCATTAGAAGTCTAATTCTTTATTCTTTAGATCAAGAATATGTATTACTAATTGATGGGGAGTCACTTTGCTTTAATTATAAGCATCATCAAATAACCTAGTGCAGGGAAATGAAAATCACTTTGCTATAAGCATCAATTCATTATACAATGTACAAGCTAGCGTATGTGTTTGCTGTAAGCACGTTTTACTGTTATTTGTTTCAATGCTATATCATTGTCATGCACCCTGAGCCAGAGGGCTTTGATAAGATGTCATTACCATTTCATTTTATACTTTAATGATGTACACAAATAGTTCTACCTTAAAATAATATAAGATTGCATGAAGTCATTATTTGATGAGTGATTTTCTCTTGCTTTTGAAATGAAATGATCAAATCGAAAGGTGAACTTTCTCTGAGTTAATTAATTTGATAAAACAGAGATTGAAATAGCTCTGCATCACCAAATACTATTCATATATCATCCTTGCTTTACAAGATAGTTGACATTGTAAATTATAGTTTCTTTAAAGACTTGCAGGGCATAACACATTATGCAGTGACTCAGAGGAATATTGGCCTATACAGAGTTCACACTCTGGTAGCTGTAGATAATGGTTCTTGGTTAATATTCCCAATGGTAATCTTAAAATAGATTAGACATTAGTTAAATCATTACATTCTCGGTTCATTATCTCCAGAAAGAGTTTGATCTGGTAGTGCACTGTAGGAGTAATGTACATCATACTTCATGTGCATATTTTTTTTTCATAGATGAAAAGTGAAAAAAAAAGTCTTTAAAAAATTATAATAAAAATCTAAAATAATTCAATTTTCTCATTGGGTAGTATTCTTAGTGTATTATTTACTTAATATTTTTTTTGATTTTTACTCTTGCAAAAATAAGTGTAGAAGAAATGTATTAATACAAAAGAATATTTTTTTTTTATTTAGTGTATGCATAATTTTATTTTTAAGAACTTTTATTTATTAATATTATTAAAAGGAAAAGTTCCTGAATTGTTCCTAAGCTTGATTTACATAATGGAGGTTGATTTTATATGGGTCTGTCTACTTTGTAATGAAAATACTATGAATATTTTATATATTGAAAAGCCCTTTAATCAACTCTATGATTTTTATAGATTATTTATATGGGTAAACAATTCAAAATTGGAGATGAATTCAAAGCTGCAAGCTTATAAAAATGGGTGTTAAACATCATATGAGTATTTTTTAGCCTTTCTCTGTTTCAATATTTAAAATACTCCTGAGTATTTAATTGAATTGTAAAATTATAGTTAGGTAATCTTTTTTTTAGACTAAAGATTACTGGGTATGTACATGTACGTGCACAATTTTTCTCTTTCAGGGCAAAACAAATCAACATCAACAGTAAAACGGACTTATTCTAAGATTAATCCATTTGAATTCAAAGGTATTTAATCTCTTTTTTCATTTACTTATTTATCATTTTATTCCTGCAGCTTAAAAAACAAGGAATATACATGTATATAATACCAACAAAAGGATCTTAAGGTATCCGATCCATAATAGCCTCAGATTCAATGAATCTGAATGCATAACAGATATATATTGGCTGAATACTCAGTATATGTAGACATAATTTTCATGTTTTAGTATCAATATGTAAGAGCAGAATGTGTCCTAATTTTTGACCTTGTCCTGTCTTTCAAGAGTTATCCCCCTTTGCTTTTAATCAATAAAAATTAATTATAAAAAAATCTATGTGGTAAAAAAATAGTTTTCAATCGTTTTTCTATTCCTAATAATTAAATACATCTTTCCACCACAGCATTTTTTTCATATTCTTAGTATCTAAATTTTTATTTTCAAAAATTTGCTTGTTCCCATAGACCTCAATGCATTCTTCATTAATTAATTACTGCTTAGGTAATTATATTTTTGAAAATTCCTCCTGGTAAATCCTTTTCTACTCTAAAATGCTTTGAATTAATTTCCGAGTATTTAATACAGGAATGTTTAAGGTTAGAAAATTAGGTCCTTTTATGGGTCAGATACCTTAATATACTTGTATCTCTTTCCTTTGCTTTTCTGTGTATGACAGAGTCATAAAAACCTTCAATATTTTACTGAATGCAATTGTCAAAAAATAAAATGAACCACATTGGATTTTGTCTTCATAAGGTTTAAAAATTGTAAGTTACATGAAATACTAGATGTAGTCATGTATATATAAACTCAAATGAACAATTTAAGGTCAATGAATATAAATCAAATAAAATTTGAATAAATTTTTTTGTTCAAATAATAACTTGTCCTAATTTGGATCTTAAAACAATGGCTTTGCTGGTAGAGTTGAGAATATGCAGTACATGCATTTACATGTACACTTCTTTGATCATGATGATTTTTTTGCAAACCTTTTAAAGAAAGATTCATTACAACTTGTTTAAATTACTTGTAAAATATGTGTCATAATGTCCTTGAAAATATCACTTAATTACTCCAAATAAACCAGTATATCTCTTTTGAGCAGCTATAATATATATGTCTTGTCATTTATATTTTGTAAATTAAATAGATGATGCAGCATCGGATAAACTAGATGATGTCACAACACAGAAAAAAGTACATGTTGAAGTACACAGACCATCTATCTCAGGTGCTTCTGCCTTTTTGATTTACACAGTAAAGTTTTTAATGATATTAAATTAAAGTACAAAAATATATATTGAATTAATTTTTTTTTTTCATTTAGATTGCTCTGAAGTGGGTGATATTTCACCTTTAACAGCAGAACCAGTAGGAGTCTGTGAAGATGACTTAAGTGGTAGGATTGTTTTATTCTTACTGTCTATAATTATACTCACAACACTGCACTTGGTATGTAAATATAAAGTGCCCCAACACAGGTTGATACACCCATCAAATATTGTTCAATTATCATAAACAGTTTAGAGTGCAAGAAAATGACATGTCAACCTTGGTACAAGGATTTCCATGATTTTTCCATTTCTTAAATATTTGTTTATATACATCTCCTGTGGTGTATGCATTATTTATAACAAATATTACATTATAGATCCTCAACTGGTTCTGTTAGAGCTTGACAAATGCCAATTTGCAGCCCCCCCCCCCCCCCCCCAATCTTTCATATTTGTGAGACATGATGCTCTGAAATTTGTTAGTTGATATTTTCAAAAAAAAAAAAAAAATTAAAATATCATATTAAACAACATCTATTTAGTCTTAACAACTTAATCTATACCTATTTAATTTTAAAAATAAAAGGCTCATGCCATCAAATGACATATGCTATAATCCATGTAAACTGACCATCAGTTCTTCTTTCTAATTCCCAAAGGAAACAGATAAGTGCTGCTTGATCAGAGATACTCTAATAGCAGAAATGATTGAGACAGCTAGCCTTTCTATATAACATTGAACTCATTAATCAATCTTTAACTGGATTCATGTCCACTCATTACTCCCAAGGGATGAATGGATCTGCACTATATCTGCTTTGTAGTACAATAAAAATGCATATATATATATATATATATATATATATATGTTATTTTGAAATTAAATTTGAAAACAAAGATTTTTTTTTTAATTTGTTACAAAGTTTTATAAAAAGAAAAAAAAACTTGTGTAATCTTGTTGCAACATTTTTAATAAGGTTCCTGCATGACTCTTAGATTTGTAGGGACTATCTACCATAATTAAAACTTTTTTTTAAATACTTTACAATTTTTTTAGATTTAATGTCAGACTGGTTTTAAGCTGCAATTCACAGGGACAACAGACATGCTGATTCTAATACATGTATCACCCCCCCCCCCCCCCTCAGTATAATTAGTTTTAATTAATTAGTTTATTATACAGTATCAAATTAGTTAATTATACAATATCAAGTTAGTTTTAATTACTTTGCACCAAATTCATTTTAAAAGTTAGGCTAGCCAACAATAACTCTTCGATCACAAAGATTTGTAAGATTAAATTAGATTTGTTAATTTCAGTGTCACCAGAAATAAACCATAGTGAAAATGAGAGTAGCAGTATCTCATCTGAGGAAACTCATACTGAAAATGCTAATAAAAGTCTTGTGGAGGCCATTCAAAAGAAACTTAAAGGTAATAATCAGACCAGTTTTACAACAATTTTAATCTTACACAGTGTGTATTGAATCTCTGTGCATACTTTATCACTTTTTTATACAATTTATTATCTTGCAAATAAAATATATATATTAAAAAAATCTCCATGCTTTGTTAAAACTAATATAAAAATATTCTTGTGCTCTGGTGAGCTTTTCTGTTCAAAATATGTCTGTTGTCTGTCGTTAGCATTGTTATTGTCATTCTTGTTGTTGGCATTGATGCTGTAAGCTTTTTACGATTTTATCTTCCCTAGAACCACTGAGCTATTTTGAATTAAACTTGGCACAGTGCATCCTTGGGTAAAGGGGATCCAATTTTGATCAAATCAAGAGCCATGCCCTTTGATAAGGGGAGATAATTAAAAAATAGTAAAAATTAGGTGAGGTTATTTAAAATCTTCTTAACTACACTGGGACAGAAAATGTGAAACAATTATTACATAGGGTAGATTCAAGTTTGTTTAAATCATGATCTCTGTGGACAGGGTGGAACCACACTAAGCTATCAACATTTTACACAGGAATACAGAGTACACAGGAATACAGAGTAAAAAATCTTCTTCTAAAGAACAACAAAGCCATGACGTGTTATTTAATATTAAAAGCATCCTCAGATACTGTAGATTCAAATGTATTGAAATCATGACCCCCGGGGATAGGGTGGGACCACATTGGGCAATCAAAATTCTACATATAAAGAGCAGGAAAAACCTTTTTTTAAAATCTTTGTCTAAAGAACAGACAAGCTATGATTCATCTTATTTATATAGAAGCATCCTCAGATAGTGTAGATTCAATTTTATTGAAATCATTATCATTGGGGGTATGATGGGACCACAATTGGTGATCAAAATTTTACATAGGCACACAAATGAAAAATTCTGAAAAATCTTCTTAAGATCAGAAAAGCCCTGTTAAGTCATATTAATGTAGATCGATCGAAGCATCCTCAGATAATGCAGGTTCAAATTTGTTCAAATCATGACCCACCCCCCTCCCCCCAACCGTTCAAAGCAACAATAAAAGATTAAATGTATTACAAAAATCTTGAGAAATATACTTAAAATCAAAGAAATATGAAAGCATCATCAGGTAGTGTAAATTTAATATGTTTGTTCAAAACACCCCCTCTCCCACCATTTTTATATATAAACTTTTAAATGCTGCATTGTTTCCTGCTTTCTTTTCTAGCAAGAGTGCACAGGTGACCAATGTGGCCCATGGGCCTCTTGTTTTTTTTTTTTTCTTACATCAAATCTCACAGCACCTATTTCTAGAATTTGTAATTCCTGACAAAATAAATGAGACTCAAAATCTGTTCTTTTTTGTTTATTTGTTTTTGTATTATTTTGATTGTATGAACTTATTTTTCAATAAGAGGTTAATAAATTGTATTAAAAAAATAATGAAATCAATAAACATGTACTTTTGCTAGGTTACATGGTACTCCCTGTGTCAAAACTTAGACAACCTTCCTTTATCAACCTCCTAAGAGAACCAGATCTTAAGCATGTCAAGGAACTGGAAAGAGAATTCAAAGAAAGACCAGGCAATTACTTTCAGTTGATGGTGGTAAATGTCTGTGGTCAACTGGAGGTAGATAACTTTGAATCCTGCACCCTTGAGGTGATTGGAGGCAATCACTCCAGAGAAGCACTTCAGAACATCATATCTGAAACACCTAATCCATCTCAGTTTGAAAAGAGAATGTGTATTGTGTACACAAATTTAAATCCTGATGAGGCCAAATATGTGGCAAATCAACATAACCAGGTCAGAAAGTTTGGCACTGACCTTGATCTGGTAGATAGAGCAGGTTGTTTTAGGTATGCTCTGTTCGAAAAAGCTGGGTATTCCAATCTCCAAGACACAATTGGTAAAAAGACCCCAACCAACAAAGAAATAATTCATAAATGGAAGGAGGGGCTCCAGTTATGTATGGGAGCTGTCAGTGTAAGTATAATCCTTTCAATATGTTTGGTTGCACAATAATGATATGTACTTATAGCCAACAAAGAGTGAATTAATTTATTGCAGGTTTATTTAATATGTTCACAAATAATTCTATGAAACGTCAATATTCTTTTTTAATAGAGAAAAACTCTCAACAACAGATTTCGGTTTGAGATGAAGTTGGCTCAACTTCAGACTGAAGTTTGGGTCGAATTTCTTGAATTCAAAAAGAAATTGAAAAAAGAAGTGAAGAAAGACAAAATCAGTGGGAGACTGTTGAAACCATTGAATGGTGTGTCATCAGAGAATATGCTGAAATTCTTAAATGATTACAACAGTGAAAAAATTAACTTCAGACAACTGACCTCTCTCTGCAACGAGTCCAAATCGTAAGTACTTGTATTCATTTTGATGAACAAATCAATTTTAATTTGAAATTCATTAATATTTGATTTATAAAATTTTTTAATAGATTTTTTTATTGTTATCAATTGTATTAATAAAAAATTTTATTTTTAAATTGTAAACAGCAATGAAGCAAACAAAAAGGATGAAAGTTCTGAATGTGAACCAGGGACATCTGCAATGAACTCTGAAGTAGAGGTATTAAAAATAATAATACACATTATGTAATAAATCATTTTAAAAATTAGATTGGACAACATTGCTTTCTAGATTTTTCATTAATGTAAAGAAGTTTTGTATAGAAAGTTATGAAACATACATGTACATGTGTAGCATTTACACATTTGGTATATCTACAAAATAATTTCAGACATTTGTTGAACCATTGGACGATGAAGTAGAGGAAGAGGAGGCTACGAATGACATTAAACTTGTTGAGGAATTAAAGGTAAAAAAAAAAATCAATGTGCAAATTAAAGATTTGGTCTAAAAAAAATTCCTTTATTTCTGAAATGAAGGTGTGGAAAATGGAAATTTTTTTTCATAAACCATGTGAAATAAGAGGCATTAAAGTGAATTCAAAAGAAATTAAGCCTATATGCTACACAGTGGCATTACATTTTCAAAATGACAAGATTTAAAAAAAAAATACATTTTAATGTTTCAGAGGACAGCAGCTAGAGAGAAAAAAAGGAGTGATGAACTACAGCTGAAGAATGAGGAATTGAAAGAGGCACTGGAAACATCAAATAGGGAGAGAGATGAAATGAAAAAAGAACTTTCACAACGATTGTTGGCTGAGAAGAAAATGCATGATGAAATTCGCCAGTTAAAGGTGATTTTGTTGATGATTCTCTGATGTTATAAATCCACAGTCAACAGTTGGCAAGCAATAAAGAAGACAAATGTCAATATTTTGTACTTTAAATCTATCTTCAGGAAAAACTAAATCAAGCTACCAAAGAATGCAGGATTTTGAGGGAAAAACAGGGCAAGCTTACAAAAAGGAAAATCACAGCAGGTAAGATTACTACTTTTCTTATTTTCAGCTTCCCTCATTTATTAGCTCACCTAAGCTGAAAGCTCAACTGAGCTTTTCTGATTACCTGTTGTCTGTCTTCCATCTGTTTGTCTAGTCTCTCTGTATATAAATATTTCACATTTTCCATTCTCAATTAAGAATCATTTGACAAATTTTAACCCAAATTGGTACAGAGCATCCTTGGTTGAAGGGGAGTGTAAATTGTTAAACTGAAAGGCCAAGCCCCCTTACAAAGGGGGATAATCAAGAAAAGACAAAAGTAGGGTTGGGTCATTAAAAATCTTTTTCTCGAGGACCACTTTAAAATATGGAAACACTGTAATGTAGTGCATATTCTAAATGATCAAATCATGGCCCCAAGGGTAGGTTTGGGTCACAATAGAGAGAATTCAGGGGAAAAATTGAATTATAAGGGAAGTTTTTTTAGCTCACCTGAGCTGAAAGCTCAAGTGAGCTTTTCTGATCACCAGTTATTCAAGTTTGTTCAAATGAAGGACCAAGGGGAGATAATTATGAATTCATGAAAATATAATGGCATCATTAAGAAATCTTCTTCTCAAGAACCACTGTGCTTGAAAGTATGAAACTTATATGGAAGCATCCTCAGGCAATGGGCAATCAAAGTTTTACATAGGAATACATAAGAAAAATCTTTAAAAATCTTCTTTTCATGAACAGAAAAGCCATGATAGGTCATAATTATATGGAAGCATCCTCAGGTAGTGTAGATTCAAGTTTGTTCAAATCATGACCCCCCGGGGAAGGGTGGGCCACAATGGGTGATCAAAGTTTATAGGGAACATCTTTAAAAATCTTCTCAAGAACAGCAAAGCCATGATTGGTCATATTTATATGGAAGCATCCTCAGGTAGTGTAGATCGAAGTTTGGTTAAATCATGACTCCCAGGGGTAGGGTGGGGCTGCAATTGGCAATCAAAGTTTTACATAGGAATACATATGAAAAATCTTTAAAAATCTTCTCAAGAACAGCAAAGCCATGATTGGTCATATTTAAATGCAAGCATCACCAGGCAATGTAGATTCAAATTTGTACAAATCATGACTCCCCCCCCCCCCCCAGAGATTACCTTAGTCTGGCGGGACTGTGTAGTGTCATACATTTTGACAAATTGAAAGCATGAAAATGTAAAAACAAGGGACATTGATATGAAAAACAATAAATACTTGTTGTTTATTCTTTAAAACACGGAGTAATAGGTAAAGAGGTTGAAATAAATGAAAATACGTTTCATTTGTTTAAATGACAGAAAATTCTCCTTTGTTTTACTTTGATGATATTTTCCCCAGTTGAACCGGTACCGGACCCTTTCCCAATTGGTAGAAAAAAAATTGCTGGTAATAATATCATTAGATGTACTTTTACTGTAATACTAAACTGTATTTTTTTTTAAACAAAAAAAAAACAGTGGATGCCACAGAAGAAGTAAACATTCCAGTGACAAAAAAACCAAGCACTGACAACTGGAATTTCAAGGAGAGGCCGGAGGACTTAGAAATAGGCATGGTTGTGGCCATCACACCAATCCGTCAAAGGGATGTTGTTGATGGAGAGCCATGGCTGGCCATAACCAATGACGTGTCCAAAGCCAGAATCAAAGTATCATGGCTGAAGGGGAGTTACACCACCAATTGGATACCAAATCCAGACTTTGAAGGGTGTGCTCCAGATAGCATCCCTAGAAATAGGGTGGCATGTAGTTTTAAGTTGATTCATGACAAAATCTTGCCAGGCTACATTGTAGATAAACTGAAGAAGATATTTAAAAATTAAGATACAAGAATTCCATGTTATATTATGCCCCCCAAACGTCTTATGGGAACATAATGTTTTTACTGTTTTTTCTTTTTTTTAATTCTTCTTCAGAACTTTTTTTGTGCCAGAATGTTCTCATTTAACCTGAGTCATCTGATTTAGATGAACCCTTTTGAGGGTTAATAGGCAAGTAGTGTAGATGTGTGGAATGAAGGTGATTTTATTTGTACATGCATGCACTTGTGTGTGCTTGCAATGAGTTAATTAAATGATTGATTTACTTGATAAAGGAATATAAAGATATATTATTTTGTTGTCTGAATAAGATGACATAATAATCAAATGTTAGCATTTCCTCATGAACATGCATTTACCCTACACTCTGATTGGCTGAAACAAAAATACTAATGTCTGTAATACAAAAAAATTGTCAAATGAACTTAAAGGGAATAGAGCACTAATAAGGAGTAAGGGTAGTATTGGGGATCATCTGTATCAGTCTCCATTACTGTTAGAATTAGTTTCATAATATGACATGCCAGTGCAAGCTCCCGGGCTTGTGTTTTATGAACTTGTATTTTTCATTCTTACAGTTCATGTGCTTGCTCAATTTAAATTACCATTTTGAGTCTTTGAAAAGGAACAATGCCTTCTACTAACAGTTACTGGAATGACATCTGTGCAAAGTATTTCAGGTCAATCTTAAATGAATTGTACTTTGTTTATGTCATGCAAAGAAATGAAGTTTGAAAGATTACACTTTCAATGTCAAGTTTTTTTGCTTATTTTTTCTGTTAGATGTGAAATTCTCAGCACAGGATTTGCTGGAAACAAACTATGAAATCAGAAAATATCTCATAAACATATTCAAAAAGATTTATCAATGTAAAACAAACAAAGAGGAAATGTTCCTCAAATCCAAAAAGCATTTTAATCACACAGCAAGTGGCATAAATTATCTGTTGAGTAGTGTAAATAATCTAGAGATGACACTGAGTGTGGAATGTTCCTCAAATCCAATAAGCTTTAAGCTTATTTATAATACAACATATCGATGAGAGAAGAACATTTCTCAAATATCAGTAAAGAAAAAGAAATTGATAGAGGAACTTTTCTCACATGCCGGTTGAGTTACAATCAACAGATACATTTTTATTAGAGGAACATTCCTCTAAATGTCGGTAGCGATCGAGGTATAAAAACCAAACTTCCGCCAGAGTTCATCTGTACTCTGTGCAGAGACACAGAGGACTATGGGTTTTTGTTTGTTTGTATGTTGTTTAACGCCCCTCTCAAGAATTTTTCACTCATATGGAAACGCCATCACTTGCCGGTGGAGAGCTGCAAATTTTGTCCTATACTCGGCATTTACGGCCATTGAGCAGTGAGGGATCTTTTTCGTGCCAGCACCTACTGCAACACGGGACCTCGGTTTATACGGTCTCATCCGAAGGACCGGTCTCCACGTCCCACAGTGGGATTCGAACCCGTGACGTAAGGATCAACTCCTTACTCCGCGACTCTAGAGCAGACGCTCTAACCAATGCGCCACATGGGAGACAAGGACTATAGGTAGTTTGGTATAAAAACTATAAAGAAGTGAAACTGAGAGAGGAACGTTCCTCTAATATCAGTGTTGGGGTATAAAAACTATTAGTATTAAGAAGGGAAATTGAGAGAGGAACGTTCCTCTAATATCGGTGGTGAGGTATAAAAACTATTAAGAAGTGAAATTGAGAGAGGAACGTTCCTCAAATATTGGTGGTGACTTATAAAAACTAAGTGAAATTGAGAGAGGAACGTTCCTCTAGTGTCGATGGTGCTGTATAAAAACTATTAAGTGAAATTGAGAGAGGAACGTTCCTCTGATATTGGTGGTGAGGTATAAAAACTATTAAGTGAAATTGAGAGAGGAACGTTCCTCGAATATTGGTGGTGACATAAAAAAACTAAGTGAAATTAAGAGAGGAACGTTCCTCTAGTGTTGATGGTGCTGTATAAAAACTATTAAGAAGTGAAATTGAGAGAGGAACGTTCCTCTAATTTCGGTGGTGAGGTATAAAAACTATTAAGAAGTGAAATAAAGAGAGGAACGTTCCTCTAATACTGGTGGTGATGTATAAAAACTAAGTGAAATTGAGAGAGGAACGTTCCTCTAATGCCAGATGAGTTCTGGCAAACAGATACATGTCTGAAATGGAAAACCTAATTTCTCCAATTTTTAGGCTTATTTTTCCATTTCAGTGTCCATTTTGGCTTAATATTTCAAAAATGGGTTAAAAAAAAGTAATTTTGATTTTCTCTTTTTGATTTGGATTGTGTTTACTGTAAACTAATTATTATTTGCATCATCTTTTATTTGGGATTCATCAGTTTGAAATTATTAATCTGTGACAATTAATTTTCGTGACCGAGGAAACACTCTACACAAATACACTGCAAATTAAATGGTTTACAACTATAAATATTTGCGAGTGAAAGAAGGTCGCAAAACTGGCAGTTATTTCATGCATGCAAATAAAGTTGGTTTACAGTATTGTAGAATGAACAAATCTTTTTCGGTCACTGAGAATTTTGACGTGAATTTCAGACTAGATGAGAAGCTCTGTCTGGGTCATCTGCCCCGTTTCTTCTCTGTGTGTATGACGTGTCTTCTGTCAGAGAAAGCCGAGGTAGCCTCTAGTGCAACAAAAACAATGAAGGTCTGTATATCTATTAGAATTGTCAATTGTAGTAATTATTCATTGATACATGTACTAAGGACTAGCATTGAAAAAAGATGTATTATACATGTATAAATCAATGTAATTTCATATGTTTGGTAATTTTCCTCTAACACATATATCAAATGCAGTGTCTTTTACTGCAGAGTACATTGGTGTTTTAATTTTACGGGATCATGTACATGTAATTTTATGCAGAAGAAAAATCTTGGATAATGCAATCTACCTGACAAATAGAAGATAAAACCCATTATTAATCAATGTTACAGGAGCTGTTAAGGGCCTGTCTTGCCCCTGCTGTGGAGGGCACTAAACAAGTGACATCAGCACCTTCTAGTACAAATACACCACTCCACAAAATTGTGAAGGCTCTTGAGACAGGACTAGGGTACCAGTTTCATGCTGCCTGGGGACTAGTCATGCAAGTCTTTGCTGTAATGTTTGAGGTTGGTTTCTTGACATAATGCCAGTTTCTTTTTCTGTTTTCTTTATGTAATATACATGTACATATTTAGAATATAAATTTTAGGTATGAAAATATTTTATAGTTTTTGAAGGTTAACATAGTTTACTTGTTTTTCTGTTTTCTGTACAATATACCTGTACTTATTTATAATAATAAATTTTGAATACAAAAGTATTTTAAAGTGTTGGCTTACGTACATGTACGTGTTCTTGTATTTTAACAAATAGATGATTCATATTTTAGGTTGCTGGTAAGGAATGTCCAGCACTTTTCAAAAAGGTAATTTTATAGTTGAAATTAATGAAATAATTATGAAGTATACCGTTATCCAGTTAAGCACACTAATTAATGATATTGACAATAGCATAAGCTTGAAAGTGAGGAACATAAAAGATATGAAGGAATTTTTTGTGAGTATAACTTGCACACATGTTTTCATATATTTAGTTGAGTTGGGATGACTTAATCTCAACCTTAAAATATAATGAATGCAGGACAATTTGTTTACCTGACAAGACATTCATTTATGATCGATTGAATTCAAATACTGTATATTTGATTTATCTAAATAATTCTAGATGATATATTGAAAATTCCATATTCAGTGAAGGTTGTGTTGAATTCCTTTTAAGTATGGGTGCAGCTTTTTGTTTGCTATTAGTCCAGATGAAATGGATATAGATAATGTCACCTTTGCATTTTTGAGTTGATGAAGGTCTTTATCATTAGCATACCACTCTAATTGATATTCGTTTTTTTTTTTTTTTGCAGAGCTTATTATCAATAGCCAATCTTAGAGACAGTCCCAGGTTTCCTTATAAAGCCGAGTTAGACCATGCTGTCGGTGCTGCTATTAAGTATCTAGGGCCTCGGCAGGTTTTAGAAGCTGTGCCTCTGAACATTACTGGAGATGAGTAAGGCTTTTAAATTACACAAGAATAACAAATGCAATTTTTTGTCCCTGTGCTCAAGATTTAAAGATTTTAAATTTAATGTTTGTTAACTTGGAGAGTTTAACTTTTGAAACCAGATGACTGTACAATATGTATTAATTTTGTAGAAATTTAGACACTTATGATAAATAATTATGGAGGTTTGTAATATGATACCTGTAGGGTTTGGAAAATTGGTTTGTTGTATGAGTTTTTAAACTATTAAATATTTATTTTATCATAAGTTTCATGTTTATTTTTTGGACAAGGAGTTTTTCCTTCATTTTTGAATTTTATTTTTTAACTTACAGTGATGACTATAGTTTTCCACGGAGCTGGTTGCTACCCGTTATCAGAGACAATGTGTGCAATACAGAGTTAGGGTTCTTTACAATATATTTCCTTCCACTGGCTGCAAAACTCCGACAGAGATGTAAGGAATAGTCTTATTTGTGTTAATCTTGAATGAAAATCATGACATTTGTTCAAGACTTCAGTATTATTCTGGTACATGTTTATGAAACCTATATGTATTAAGAGGTGTGACAGAGGAAAGTTAATGTAAATAAGGACATTCTTACTGTAGAAAGTGGAGCCTAGCATCTATGCATTTCAAATGGTAAAAATGGTCACAATAAAAAACTGATATTCTCTATGACCTAGAAATTGTGTGTGATTTTTTTTTATATATATTTATCATGTTTATGAATCTTGATGTTTAATGTCATGAGAATCACTCTCTTTTCTGTTAACTTTCATATACATGTACATACACACATGTACATGTAAATCATCAGAAGGAAACACTTTGTTATTGTGGATATTGTTTTTTTGTCCTGACAGCTCTGGAGGCGGAGTCTACTGGTAACCAGGTTGTCTGTAAATCATACGACGCTCTACAGCGACAGATCTGGTCTTTGTTGCCAGGGTTCTGTACCCAGCCCACAGATCTTGCTCAGGTGATGACCCTCATGAGACTTTGCATGTTCTATATATTGTTTTATAAATTTTTAGGATATTTTTCCCCCACCTTTGCAAAAGCGTGGGACTTTAAAGCTTATTTACTAGCTGTCTGTCTATCAGTCACAAAATTTACAACTTTAGTCATAACTTTTGAATGAGAGAAGATAGAGATTTTATATTTATATAACCCACAACCTGTAAACAAGATATTTTAAAAACATCTCATAGAGAAAAAAGATAATATTATTGATGACTTGTAATGCATATTAGAATACACAAATAGGAGTTTCAATCCCAAATTTAAAAATAAAAAAATAAAAGGGGGGTCCACACCCTATGGACCTGTGCTTGATCTTGAAATTTGACATAAGAGTACTTGGATAAGAAATGTATTTCACAAAATCAGTAAATATATCACCATTATATAATACTACATCTGAAGTCTACAGTACATATTGTCAGTAAATGTACATACATGTAGTAATTAAAATTTCAAATTAATTTAATAATGGAACACTAAAGAAAACTGCTGATTATTCTGTAAAAAATAAAACCAGAACAAAAATCAAAAAAGAAATTTAGTATAAGATATCATTAGTAATGTTACAAGGTTAAGATATTGCTATTTATCTTCTATTTCAGTCATTCAAGGGAATCTGTAAAATTCTTGGGTCTGCCATCAGCGACCGCGAGGATCTTAGAACTGAAGTCATGTCTGGACTCCGGAAACTCATAAACAAGAGCAAAGAAGAAGGTAAGTTATCATACAGTTAATTGTACACTTAACAGCAACAGCAAGGAAGAGGGTTAGTTATGATACAGTTAACTGCACACTTAACAGCAATAACAAAGAAGAGGGTAAGTTACCTTAAAGTTAACTGTACACTTAACAGCAACAACAAAGAAGAGGGTAAGTTATCATACAGTTAACTGTACACTTAACAGCAACAGCAAGATGCTTAACAACAAGGAAGAGGTAAAGTTATCATACAGTTAACTGTACACTTTACAGCAACAGCAAGGAAGAGGGTTAGTTATGATACAGTTAACTGTACACTTAAACAGCAACAACAAAGAAGAGGGTAAGTTATCTTACAGTTAACTGTACACCTAACAGCAAGGAGAGGATAAGTTAACATATAGTTAATTGTACACTTAACAACAAGGAAGATGGTAAGATATCATACAGTTAACTGTACACTTAACTACAAGGAAGAGGTTAAGTTGTCAAACAGTTAACTATATACACTTAACAGCAGTAGCAAAGAAGGTGGTTAGTTATCATACAGTTAACTGTACACTTAACAGCAACAACAAAGAAGAGGGTTAGTTATCATACCCTTAACTGTACACTAACAGCAACAGCAAAGAAGAGGGTTAGTTATCATACCCTTAACTGTACACTAACAGCAACAGTAAAGAGGAGGGTTGGTTATCACACAGTTATCTGTGCATCTAACAGCAACAGCAATTGTACAGTAAACCATATAGACTATACACCAAGAACATTGAATAGATTAGGTAATCAGTGTAATGTGAACTTCACAGCAACAACATAGAAGTGGGAATTTTACAAAATGTGAGACTTTGTCAGTTTTTACTTTTTTGATTGTCCTTTAGAAATGGAAGGGTTTGTAATGCACAGTTGTATTACACGTACTTATAAATGTTAAGGTGACTGCCTAGGTGAGGAGATTATGACATCCAGTAGAAATGTACTTGTAAACATTTAAACAATAAAATGCTTTCTTTGGTTGTAGGTTAGAGAATTAATGTCCCAGCTGTTAAAGAAAAATGTACATGTACAATTTACATGTAAATTTTTTCTGCAATAGCTGCGATGTTAAATCCTGTACTAACAAACAAAGAAAGACATTTTATTGTTTATATTTATATCTATAAAAAAACCATTTAAAGTAAAATTGTTTGTTAAATATTGTATTGTAGATGTGTATGTAATTGTATGCATAATTGATAGAAGAGCCGTTGCTCAAGAAATCTATGCAGGTGGCTTGCTTAGTGGCGTTTACTGATTGATAAATGGCAATGGTTTTCATAAGAAATAAAGGAAATAATATTCAGGGGATGTAAATATTTTGCTTTGATGCCAGTGAGGTCCAAACTACAAAGACAATTTATATTTCTGTGGTTACAGAAGAGAGTAAACAAGAGGTGGCCAGATTTGCAAAGAATTTTCTCCCCATTCTGTTTAACCTGTTCACAACAGAGCCAGAAAATGCCAAAGACACCACTAGACTGGCTGTCCTGGAAACCATCAAAACCTACCTACAGATAGCAGATACTGCAGTGAGTGGTACAATCCTTACAACTACACATGGTAAAAAGGAAAAGTGTTGGTTGAAATTCTATAATATGTTTCAGTTCCTTCATGTAGAAGGGTTCCCATTGAGTTCGAGATAATGAGGTTTGACTGTTTAGCAGTTTTATACAATCAAGTGATTATGAAATGTCATCTGTTTTCTTCTATGAATACTTGTCCTCTCTTACAGTTGATCAATTCATTCTGTGATAAATGTAAAGAGAAAATCCATGAAGAGGGCGTTTCACCATTCAAAAGGTTAGTGTTTGTGAAACACTTGTAAAATACATATTTCTTGGTTTGAGGGGCAAAAAAGGTCTGTTCATGGGGATTTGATTTTGTGGAAGACAAAGTGTTGACAGAGTTGTTACACATGTACAGTTGAAAATTCACGTTTTGTGGAAGACGAGAATTTGTGGGTTTCTTCATACCACGAAAGCAATGAAAATTAAACCCCCACAAAAATGGATGTATTTCACAGTTATAAATGATAAATACAGAATACAATTTTTTCTCTTAAGTCAGTCAGATTTTAAAAGGCCAGTTTTGCTGAACTTTTGAATAAATATGATTGAAATTGCTGGTCTTAGGGTTACAGTCAGTTTGTTCCATATAATTTCTTCAATTAACACTGAGTTAGTTTCATTTAGAGATAATTGTTGAAATCTTTCAGACATGCCCTGATGGATCTCCTTCTTGTGATGTTACCAGTGGTGGATCAAACAAGGGTGGAAGCAATTTTCAAACTGACTACTCCATTCCTGTCTGTATGTTCACAGAATAGCATTTTAAATCAAATAGAAGTAAAGAAATTTGTTAATAAATAGTATTTATTTAGATATGTTCAAATCACAGCTGTTGGCATAATGAGAAACTGCATGAGGTATTGCATGTATGCTTAAGATTTGTGTCTGTGAGAGAGCAGGATGACAAGATAAGCCTTGTGCCTTATGTACAGTTTTATTTCCCTATGTGTTGTTGATTGTGATAGTGAAAAGTATGTAATATAGTAATAATATAATATGACTATAATATAGACATGCCTCTTTGTTTTCAGGACATGGATAAGACGTTACAGAAGAAATGTTACCGAGTGTTAGAGGAGTTATGTAGCAGTTCTTCAGAAGCCTGTCAGATGTTTGTTACGGAGAATCTGTCTACTATACAGGGGGTCCTGCTAGATTCCCTGTCTACATCTAGTCCCTCTTCTAAAGCAGTGAGTATCAAATCCTATCCACAGAAGTTTGTTACAGAGTATTTTTCCACATACGACGAAGGGGGGTTGGAGGGGTCCTGCTAAGATTCTCTGTCCACATCTAGTCCCTCATCTGAAGTAGTGAGTACCAACCTCTAAAATTCACTAATATGCACTATATACATGTACATGTATCTCTGTCTATGTCTCAAGTTTTACAAGGTTATTTTAAAACATTTAAATCAATATCTTTGATTAGGCCTAAAAAAATTAATATCTTGGTTCTCAGGTCAGTTTTTTCAAAGATAAATGTGGGAGGGAGGCTTTTTTTCCTTTTTACCTCATAAAAAACAGATGCAGATTTTTGATTTGTTTTTTTTTTTATTAGGTCACCTGAGTCACTCAGGTGACCTATTGCTATCCGTTCTCGTCCGTCGGCGTGCGTCGTGCAGTGTGCGTCGGGCGTCGTGTGTTAACAATTGAACATTTTTAGCTTCTTCTCTGAAACCGCTTAACCAATTTCAACCAAATTTGGCATATAGCATCTATTGGTGAAGGGGAACAAAAATTGTGAATTCCATGGTCCCTGCCCCCCTGGGGCCTGAGGGGTGGGGCTAAAACCACCAAAAATAATGCAATCTTTAAAAATCTTCTTCTTTACTCCTGGACATCAAGCAGTCAAACTGTTGGCATCATTGTAATAAGCATTGAGTCCTCTACCAAAATTGTGAAATTCATGGCCCCAGGGTCAGGGGTTCTGGTGCTAGGGTGGGGCTATATAGATCATATAGTGAAAGTGCATTATTTCTTTGAAAATCTCCTTCTCTGCTCCTGGGTATTAAATAAAGTAACTAAGTACATAGTTATGAAGAACAAGAGTGCCTCTTTCAAAATTGTGAAATTCATGGCCCCAGGGTCAGGGGTTCTGGTGTTACGGCAGGGCTTTATTATACCCCACGCAACAAGTTGCGGGGGGTATAATGTTTTTGACCCGTCCGTCAGTCAGTCAGTCAGTCAGTCAGTGTGTCAGTCAGTCAGTGTGTCAGTCAGTCAGTCAGTCAGTCCGTCAGTCCTGTTTTTTTTGTCAGCGCAACTCCTCATAAACCGCTGCACAGAATTTCGTCAAACTTTGCAGATATTTAGGACACAATGTGTAGATGTGCATATTACCAGGAAATTCCGATTCCTTTATTTTTTTCTGGGAATTTCGGCACTTTTCAACTTAGATTTTTGGCCATATCTTGAATATAGAGATGAACAGTTTGTCAGCGCAACTCCTCAAAAACCATTGCACAGAATTTCATCAAACTTTGCAGATATTTAGGACACAATGTGTAGATGTGCATATTACCAGGAAATTCCGATTCCTTTATTTTTTCTGGGAATTTCGGCACTTTTCATCTTAGATTTTTGGCCATATCTTGAATATAGAGATGAACAGTTTGTCAGCGCAACTCCTCATAAACCGTTGCACAGAATTTAGTCAAACTTTGCAGATATTTAGGACACAATGTGTAGATGTGCCTATTACCAGGAAATTCCGATTCCTTTATTTTTCTGGGAATTTCGGCACTCTTCAACTTAGTTTTTTGGCCATATCTTGAATATAGAGATGAACAGTTTGTCAGCGCAACTCCTCATAAACCGTTGCACAGAATTTAGTCAAACTTTGCAGATATTTAGGACACAATGTGTAGATGTGCATATTACCAGGAAATTCCAATTTCTTTATTTTTTCTGGGAATTTCGGCACTTTTCAACTTAGATTTTTGGCCATATCTTGAATATAGAGATGAACAGTTTGTCATCGCAACTCCTCTTAAACCGCTGCACAGAATTTCACCAAACTTTGCAGATATTTAGTACACAGTGTGTAGATGTGCATATTACCAGGAAATTCCGATTCCTTTATTTTTCTGGGAATTTTGGCACTTCAACTTAGATTTTTGGCCATATCTTGAATATAGAGATGAACAGTTTGTTATTGCAACTCCTCTTAAACCGCTGTACAGAATTTGGTAAAACTTTGCAGATATTTATTACGAAGATGTGCAAATTACCAGGAAATTCCGATTCCATTATTTTTGCCTTAAGAGTTTTGCCTGTATTGAAGAAACTTTCCAGCTAGGTAATAAGGAAATCCACTGGAATCAGCTTTTGTAATGAAATTTTATGTGAAATGTTTTATGACCTTAAAAGAACCCTATTGATTTTGAGATCAAAATATTAATGATTTAACACACACACAAAATCTTGGATAGTTCTCAACCCCCTCCCCCCCCCCCCCCCCCCCCCCCAAATTGGTGCTTTGGCTTAAATAATTTCTTAAGTACAGTATATAAACAAATTCATATGACTACATCATAATTTTGTTTCCATCAATTATTTAAATGTGTAAATTATCATGTGTTGGACATGGACTTACACTCATTAACAAATCGAAATCACTGAGGAAAATTAAATAACAGTTTGTCAGCATAACTCCTGCACTGAATTTCCTGAAACTTTAGGTATTTCAGACATAATGTATAGATTTGTATATTACCAAGAAATTTTGATTCCATTATTTATCTAGAAACTTCAGCCGAATTAAATTTGTAACATACAAAGATTTGAATGTCCTTATATGCAAGAAGTTTTGATGTGATGATTTTTTGCAAGTAATGCCCCTTTTTGAATTATTATACTGTGTATTTAAAATGCACTGTGCCATTCATTACGTGTTGCATTGTTGAGTTTTGGGGGAGCGTGGGGTATGTGAGCTTGCTCACTTTTTCTTTCATTGATTATTTAGTTATAATGCATTAATTCTTTGAAAATCTTCTTATCTGCTCCTGGATATTAATTGAACTAATTTAGTACATAGTTATGATGAGCAAGAGTGCCTCTTCCAAAATTGTGAATTTCATGGCCCCAGGGTCAGGGGTTCTGGTGTTAGGGAGGGGCTCTATTGATTATATAGTGAAAATGCATTAATTCTTTGAAAATCTTCTTATCTGCTCCTGGTTATTAAATGAACTAATTTAGTACTTAGTTATGATGAGCAAGAGTGCCTCTTCCAAAATTGTGAATTTCTTGGCCCCAGGGTCAGGGGTTCTGGTGTTAGGGTGGGGCTCTATTGATTATATTGTTAAAATGCATTAATTCTTTGAAAATCTTTTTCTCTGCTCCTGGGTATTAAATAAAGTAACTTAGTATATAGTTATGATGAGCAAGAGTGCCTCTTCCAAAATTGTGAATTTCATGGCCCTTGGGTCAGGAGTTCTGGTGTTGGGGCAGGGCTCTATTGATTATATAGTAGAATTGCATTAATTCTTTGAAAATCTTTTTCTCTGCTCCTGGGTATTAAATAAACTAAGTACATAGTTATGGTGAGCATGACTGCCTTTTCAGAAATTGTTTCATGGCCCTTGGGTCAGGGGTTCTGGTGTTAGGGATGGGCTCCATTGATTATATAGGGAATAGACATGAATTCTTTCAAAATCTTCTGTGCGCCTGGGTATTTTTCAAACAAAGGAAGTGCATGGTTATGATAAGGAAGAATGCCTCATGGCCCTTGGGTCAGGGGTTCTGGTGAGGGGGAAAGAGCTCTATTGATTATATATAGTGAAAATGCATAATTTCTTTCAAAATATTTTTTCTACTACTGGTTATAAAGTAAAGAAACAAGTGTATAGTTATAATGAGAAAGGGTGCTTCTTCCAGAATTGTGAGTTCGTGGCCAATGGGTCAGATGTTCTGGGTAAGGATGGGGCTTTATTTATTTAATAATATGGTGAAAATGCATTTCTTTGAAAATCTTCTATGCTTCTGGGGATGTTCAAGGCAAACAGAGTAAAAGTTTTAATATGCAAGGGTATTTTTACCAGAATTTTGAACACCTGGACCATTTAGTCAAGTGTTCTAGTCCTGGCCAGGGCTCTATTAACTTGTATTCTGCTGAGCAAAGTTATTCCCCTTTGCCATTCACCTTTGATAATTAATCAATGTAAATAATGTATTTGAAAGCTTAATAGAATAAGAGAATTATGCAAGATAATTTATTGTATAATGAAAAAGTACTTTCATAGATTTAATGACTTGGAAAGTCAGATAGGCAGATAGATACTAGACCAACTATTTTGTTGATGCTAATCATACTATTTTTCTTGCTTTTGGGCAACAAAGCTTCATTTTTCAGTTTATGGATCCTCTAAATTGTTGTATTGTACTCAGGTGACCGTTAAGGCCCTTGGGCCTCTTGTTTCAAAACTAGCAACTTTTAAGCAATAGTGCTTCAACATTGAGTGTAGAAATTTCCTGCTTCTTTCTCTTTTCTCTTGCATTTTCTACATTCCATTGATTCATGTAATTAAACGACGGCATCCTAACAATCAGACTTACACTTACAGAACCCAACACTTTAGTGATGCGTCTGGTCAATTACTGAACTCTTAACTAATCTAAGAGTGTTTCAGCACTATATATAAATAGCGCTTATGATTCTATTAAACATTGTCAAATTTATCAGTCTTTGGTTTACCCACACTAAATGAAATCAGCAAATCTTGCTGAAGATTTTCTGGAAGCATTCAAGTTCTGAGGTTTAGGGAGCTGTCTTTAATAGCATTATTGAGTTCTAGCATGGAACAACCTTCAGAAACCAATGTGCCATGGAAGTATTACATTCATTCCCTTATGAATTTGCACTGAAATCAATGCCATCATGACCAAACTTAATCTTGACACCTTAACCTGTTAACTCGATGACCATATTTGCGATTTTTAACTTGGCCACTAGTCTTTATCATCTTGATGTTTGTCAAACGTTTTACTGATTGGAGTATCTAAAATCCAGTCGGGGATTTTGGATTTTTTTTTTACACCATATGAGCGCATGAGAGAAATTTTATTTTATTAATTTGAGGATAAAAATGGGTAATGGGCATTGTTAAATGAGATGTGGACAGACCTGAGAACAGGATTGTCCTTAAGACCCAGGGGCTGGGGAATTTCCCTGCCTAAAATGACATTATCCCCAGTCTACTCTGGTAATTCCCCTCAAACCCTTGTTAGGGGAGGAATCCCAGACCCCCTTCCATTTTCTTAATGTCACCTCCTACAACCCTGTGAGAACCAAGTTATTTATTTTTTAAGGCCTAATGTACCTTATACCTGAGATTAAAAAAAAATAATTTTAGATGTATGTGTAAAAAGAATTGGAGTAAATATCCCGTTTTAACTGCATGCTCACTGTTTGTATCTTTACAAACACAGTAGTCCAAAGGACTAGTACTTTTTTTTGTCGTAGTGAATTTCCATAAGTCCAGCTGCCAAAGACAGTCAACCAAGTCGCAAAGCAATGGGGGGAGTGTGCAAGAGGGGGCTTGCCCCCTCCCCCTGGTGGAGGTCTGGTGGCCTCCCTTGGAAATTTTTAAAACATAGAGGAAAATTCTGTATTTTTAGAGAAATTTGAGGTGTATAAAGGGAAATGTATTGTAGCTTCTATTTTTCTTTCAAGTTTATGTACACAATGGCATTCCAAAGGTTTGGTGAAAGATTTCTTGCCATAAGCATTCAAAATATTAAATCTTCTTATGATTGAAAAAAAGCTTCATTTGTAAGGTAAAATAATAAGAGTCTGCAGCACTTCAAAAAACTAGACTCCAGGTAGTAATTGATTCATGTAATGTGGAGGACTAATTCAGATGATGAAGTTTTCAGGGAGTTGACTTCCATGAATCTCAGAAACTATATAAAATCTTCTTCAATCACGTAAATGAAATATAAGCATGCTAGAAAGAGCAGAGTTACATTTACATGTAAATCTGTATAAATAACAAAATAAAAGGATGATTTTGAAAATTTCAGCCTCGGCTCCGTTGTTTAATCAACATCTTCAAAATACTGAAGGAGGAGGAGAAAGATTTCCTGTTGGCAGTTGTACCAGAGGTAAAAATTAAATATATAGGAAAATTTAGGGGGAATAAATTTCTTCATAAGAAACATTTTTTTCTTATTAAATAAAAAAAAAAAAAGAATTCAATATTCACTTTTCATACCATATATTTAAACAGCTGTTGGATACCCCTTGATTTGTTACAATATATTATAATAAAACTTCTAGTTCTGCCTGATACATGTATTGTTTGTGTTCATGCATTGATCTAAATGATAATTTGTGATTTTAATATGCTAATGACTTTCTCTTTCTTACAGGCAATTTTATGTACCAAGGAGATAGGAGAAAAGGCCCGATCAGCATCTTATCAACTACTGGTAGAAATGGGCCGTGCCAAGATGAGATGGAATAAAAATGAAAATGGTCGCTCAAAATTTATATGCTTTTGCACATGATAATAATAAATAGGGACCAATATTCAAATGTGCCAAGAATGTAAAAGCGGGTGGAGGGAGGGGGGGGGGGGGGATTTAGGAGTTCTAATTATTGTTATATGTGTAATATGTACGATTATGATTTTTTTAATAAATGATAAATTTCTTGTATACATTTAGATGTTATTGATTAACAAGAGAGCCAACATTAACATTACAACTTTCTTCACATTTACATTCCTTTGCTTACAGAGGCACTAGAGGACTACTTCCAAATGGTGATGGCAGGACTTGGGGGTTCCCCACAGATGGTCAGCTCTACCCTACTGGCCCTGACCAGGATTCTCTATGAGTTCAAAGGTCAGTTTACCAGCTAGTGATATATTAGGAGTGAAACAGTTCACCGCGGTATCGATTCACCGCGGTATTTTTTCTCGGTTCGATACAAGGTGCAAAATCTTTAATTTTCGGTTCGGTTCATTTTTCCGTCGGGATCGTTATTCAGTCGGGTTTGGCATAAGGTAAAACACGTTACTCAGTATAAATAAGTATAGAAAACGTAAATTTTTGATGACTGATAGCTTGTAAAATAATTTTTGACAGTCAAATAATTTTAATCAATTTCTTCTAGTCAATTTGCAAATAAAATTCGTAAAATATGTGACTAGATTTAGAAAAAGAAAGCATAAAACAACGTTGAATTTGTTTCCTTTAATCAAAATGTATCGTATCGAAAAGAACCGAACCGAGACAAAATTATACAATACGTATCGAACCGTGAAGGAGGTGTATCGTTTCACCCCTATGATATATTGATGGAATTGATTTAGAAGCTGATTATAAAAGTTAAAAATATATAAAGAAAGCTGGCATATGGTAAATGGCTTTTTTCTCATATTGTATTTTTGAATTTAGTACATGGAATTCCTATTTTGGCAAATACTCTTTGCACTGATTCATAAATACTACTGAAATTTGATTTTATAGGAGACTCAGTATATTTTACTTAGAAAAACTGACAGTGCTTATTCCTATTTGTGCCATTGTGCTAATTCTCTATCCTACAATGAATGTCTGTGCTAAATTTGAAAATTCTGTATGCTAAAATGAGAACACACATAGCATACTGCATATTCATGTAAATTTGCATATAATTGTCTACACAAGTACATGAGAATAACAATTTTAATTAACATTAATTGCATCCTTACACAGCCTCCATCAGCATGCCATTGTTAGAGACCATTGTGGAACAGTTGTGTTTACTTCTGAAATCAAAGACAAGGGAAGTGGTTAAGGCGGCTCTGGGCTTTATGAAGGTTCTGTTATCTGCCTACCCCGACACTGTGCTGGCTCCGCACTTAAAACAGATTGTAAGATAATGTGATACTCAGAGAAACAAAGATAATCAGAGATTCAGTGTAGGCTGTAAATACTGACATCAAATTTGTCATTGCTTAGAACTTTGAAAAAATTAAATGAAGCATGTACTGAATTTTTGAAAGCATTTTATTATGATATACACAGCATTACATATAGCATACTAGTACTTACTTTATCATTTTTATTTTTCATTTACTTTATCTACAAATGTTACATTAAAGATTTGTTTATTTAAATATATTGATAAGATTTGTCAAATGTAATGATGCAAGGTTATGAAAATTATTATGTACACTGTAACTTTAAACACTCTGTTCCATTTCATTTTTAGATGTCCAGTCTTGTTTCTCAAAAGGAGGACTGCAAGCATCATTTTAGGTTCAAGGCTAAAGAAATCTATGCTAAACTCATCAAGAAGTTTGGGTAAAACTTTTGATTTTTTTCCACATATTATTAGCTCACATGAACCAATTGCAAAGGCTCAGGTGAGGTTCTCTAATCAAAATTTGTTTTCTGTCAACATTTTTTTGAAGTTTGTAAACTTTTCACATTTGCATCTTTTGCTTTTGAACCGTTAAACCAACTTCAACCAAACTTTGCAAAAATATTGTTTAGGAGATGGAAATTATTTTTCTTTAAATGAAGAGGCATGCCTCTTTCCAAGGGAGATAAACAGGAAAAGGCAAAAATAGTTGACTTTGTCTACTTTCTACTACTTTTATCACATGAAAACAAAGGGCTCATGATGGGTAAAACTAGTTAACAGGAATTCTTTTCCTTGTATAAGAAACCCAGGGATAGGGTGGGGCTAAATTCAGCAATAGAATTTTAATTAAATCTTGTATACAGAGAGAATAATCTTTTAGAAATCTTCCTTAGAACATCAAGGCTGTGTAAGTCATGTTGGTATTAAAGCATCACAATGTTGTGTCAAATTCATGTTCATAATCATGTTAACCCCTAACTGGGTTGGTCCAACATATAGAGTCAATGTATTCTCATGGATATAAGGAAGGAAATTTGCTTTAGCAGTACAGCAGCGTCAAGGCATACCATGCCAGCATTATAGAGTATGGGCATTTTGTTATTGAAGACTTTAAAACATCATCTCTTCTTTATATATGTACATACATCTAGAAAAAACATTTACATCTCTCCTCTCATTAAATTACTGTACACAGTCACATAGAAAATACCTGCATCGTTCATAAAATTACTGTACACAGTCACATAAAAAATACCTGCATCGTTCATAAAATTACTGTACGCAGTCACATAAAAAATACCTGCATCTGTTTTTATGAAATCTGTTTTAATTTAGGAATTTTTTTACGTGCATGTTGTTGTGACTTAATTCTTTATGATATCGAAAGCCATTTAGGGATCATCTGCCTGGAAGTTCAAAAATCCAAGGAAGACGCCTGATAATTGCCATGTCACATGTTAATTTTTTTCCTGTTGTTAGATACGAGACAATCTTTGGTATGTCACCTCCGAGCATTCACAAGGTTCTTGTAAACATAAAGAAGACTCAGGAGAGGGCTAAGAAGAAGAAGAAGGAGAGAGACAGTGATTCCGAAGAAGAGAGTGACCAGGAACACTTTAGATCTCAACCTGAAAGGTGAATCTCCAAACACATTGATCTCTATTTCTTTATTATCTATTTATAGTCATAGTATCAGCAGTTGGTTAATTGACATATGGACTTTGTGTCACATTTTAACTGACCTTGAATGTGTTTGCTGCATATGTAAGTACATGTATGTTATACTGCTGAATGTACATACCAGTTTAATACCAGCCTGAACTCTCTGTATTCACATTATTTTGCTCATACTCATCAATGATACTAAATATTTGGTGTGATTTTCATATTTACCTCACCTACCTGTTTGTTTGTCTGTTCGTCTTTAAATATTTCAAATTTTCAACTTTTGCAGGACAATTTTGCGAATTTTTACCAAACTTGACAGAAGTTTTTTTTTGGTAAAATGTGCATTTTTTTCTTGCATTTACACAAGAGTTCAATCCACACTTCGCAAATTATATATATAAAAAAAACCAACAAAGATGATCCCTGTGCAGGTTTACCTAAAGATCAATAGGGAAAGAAAGTTTCTCTATATTATGCGACCAAACATTTTTTTTTGAATTAATTTTATGTGTAGTCCTATCATTGGTCATTCAAAATGCAAGGTGCAAACAATTTTTGTTGTCAAATGAAAAAGTTACAAACCCAAAAGTTGCAAGAGCTGCTGTAAGAGTTCTCTGATAGAATCTTCCCTCCCTCCAAAGATGGTGGCCAGGGGACATAACTTTTGAAAAGTGTGTACACATCAATAGTAATTCCTTTGTTTTGTATGATACAGTGTGGATGATCTTCTGAGGGATACAGACTCTGAGGAGGAGACAGAAACAAAACCCAAACGGAAAACACGGGACAAAACTCAGGCTAAATTGGCCTGGTTACAAGAGGGAGGGGATATTATGGATTTCCTCGACCCAACAGCCTCCAAAAAAGTCCTTGGTAATCATATACATGAAGATATTTCTGATAAAGTTTAATTTAGTTCATTAATTTTGTGTTTGATGTTTAGATGTAAAATTTCACTTTGTTGGCAAGTCCTGTATAATTTTATAGCATTGATGTTAAAGTTTATTTTGATAGCATTGGAGTCAGAGTTGTGATTTAAAATTAAAAAAAAAAGTGCAATGATGGTTACATCTTCCTCAGTGGCAGAATTTTTATTTTTATCTAATATAAAAGATAAATATATTCGGTAAATCATGTAGCAGAACAAATTTCAATATACTAGTCTTACATACATGTACACATTTTCTATATGATTTCTCTTAGCTACAAAACCAGAAGAAAAGAAAGATATGAAGAAGAGAGAACCAGCATTTAAGATGGCTTCTGATGGACGTCTGATTATAACAGAGTCCAGTGACGAGGAAGGTATTAAGTTAATAATGTTCTACCCACTCACTAGAGAAAATCAGAAATGTGTTTATAATAACATTCAGTACTGAGAAAGGTTCAATATTTACTAAGCAAGGTAAAGGGAAAAAATTAGTTAAAAATACAGTATCTGTGTTCCAAAACATTTTGTTTAGTCTTATTTTTATGCCAGCATCTTTTGAAATAATGTTGATGCAAAGGCTCAAATGATTTCTGATTGAAGGGTGTCCTCAACCTGTCTATCATTGAGTATTTGTAGAATGTTATCTTTTCATATTTTCATATTCTTCTCCAGAACCAATAGGCTACTTTAAAACCAAACATGCCACAAAGCATCCTTGCACAAAGAAAATTCAGATTTATTCAAATGAAGGACCACACTCTTTTTCAAGGGCAGACAATAAGAAAGTGGGGTAAAATTTAGAGGCGTCTTTCAAAAGTTTCCTTCTCAAGAACCGCTAGGCCATAAACTATTCAAATCATGGCCCCCAAGTGAGAATGGTATAATAATAGGAGATCAAAGTTTTACATGGAAATAGGGAAATCTTCTCAAGATTAAAAGGATATTGTCACAGTGTACATGTAGTGTCATTCTTATGTAAGAATCCTTTGATATAATGTTGATACAAGTTTATTTAAATCATTACTCCCAGGAGTAGAATGAGTCACAATATGGAATCAGTTTTTAATACATGGGAAAATTAAGGTAAAAAATCTTTGAGAATCTATTTTTTTTCAAATCAATAGGGCCAAGTTTAGTAATTTTATTATGCCAGTATTCTCAGATACTGCAAATTTGAATTTGTTCAAATCATGACCCTTGTGGGTAGGATTAGGCCATAATAAGGGATCAAAACTTTACAAAGAAATATACATGTATAATCTCAAGAAAACTTTTCCAGAATAGGGCCATGATTACTCAGGTGAGCATTGTGGCCAATGGGCCTCTGGTTACCTTAGGTCTTGAATATTTTTAGGTCCAGAGAAAATGGGAGAAGATGAAGATGACCTTGAAGATTTGTTGAAGGCCATTGAGCAGGGAGCAGGAAATGTCAAGGTAACTTATTTTTATCATGAAGATTGTTGAATCTTCACTTTACATCTTAATGCAAGTTTAAAAAATCTTTATGAAGATTTTTTATTTATCCTTTCAGTTTGTAGGTTGAATTTTGTAAATGCATTTCATTCAAATGTATTAAGCTAATTAATTTATTTTTTAAATCTGCCAAATCCCTTATCTTTTTTTACCAAATCTCTTAATTTCAATATCATAAAATTTTTTCAATATTTATGCATTAAGTGTTGTTGTGTATACTCATGTTTAGAAATTAACATGGAGAAACTTGCACTAAAGTGACGTCATGAGACTACAGAGACATTTATTTAATAGAGATATACATGTAATAATATAGGGCAGTGAGAAATTCAATAGAGAAATAATCTAAGGGGATTTATTGAAGTATTGAAGAAAATAACATTTTTAAAACATAAAATACTTTCACAGACTAATGGTGTGTTTTGTTTTTAGGTCACCTGAGTAAACTCAGGTGACCTATTGCTATCCGTTTTTGTCCGTCGTCGTACGTCGTTCGTCGGTCGTAAACTTTTGAACATTTTCAGCTTCTTCTCTAAAACCGCTCAACCAATTTCAACAAAATTTGGCATATAGCATTTATGGGTGAAGGGGAACAAAAATTATGAATTTCATTGTCCCTACCCCCCTGGGGCCTGAGGGGTGGGGCTAATACCACCAAAATTAATGCAATCTTTAAAATTCTTCTTCTTTATTCCTGGACATCAAGCAGTCAAACTGTTGGCATCATTGTAATAAGCATTGAGCCCTCTACCAAAATTGTGAAATTCTTGCCCCCAGGGTCAGGGTTCAGGTGCTAGGGTGGGGCTATATAGATCACATAGTGAAAGTGTATTATTTCTTTGAAAATCTTCTTCTCTGCTCCTGGGTATCAAATAAACTAACTAAGTACATAGTTATGAAGAGCAAGAATGCCTCTTCCAAAATTGTGAATTTCATGGCCCCAGGGTCAGGGGTTCTGGTGTTAGGGCGGGCTCTATTTATTATATAGTGAAAATGCATTAATTCTTTGAAAATCTTCTTCTCTGTTCCTGGGTATTAAAAAAACAAACCAAGTATAAAGTTATGATGAGCAAGAGTGCCAATTGCAAAATTTTGAATTTCATGGCCCCAGAGTCAGGGGTTCTGATGTTAGGGCGGGGCTCTATTGATTATATAGTGAAAATGCATTAATTCTTTTAAAATCTTCTTCTCTGCTTCTGGGTATTAAATAAAGTAACAAAGTACATAGTTATGATGAGCAAGAGTGCCTCTTCCAAAATTGTGAATTTCATGGCCCCAGAGTCAGGGGTTCTGGTGTTGGGGGGGGGGGGGTGGCTCTATTGACTATATAGTGAAAATGCATTAATTCTTTGAAAATCTTCTTCTCTGCTCCTTGGTATTAAATAAAGTAACTAAGTACATAAGAACATAGTTATGATGAGCAAGAGTGCCTCTTCCGAAATTGTGAATTTCATGGCCCCAGGGTCAGAGGTTCTGGTGTAAGGGGGGGGGGTTGTCTCTTTTGACTATATAGTGAATATGCATTAATTCTTTGAAAACCTGGATATTAAATAAACTAACTAAGAACATAGATACGATGAGCATGGCTGCCTTTTCAGAAATTGTGAATTTCATGGCTCCTGGGTCAGGGGTTCAGGTGTTGGGGGGGGGGGGGGGCTCTATTGATTATTTGCATTAATTCTTTGAAAATCTTCTTCTCTACTCCTGGGTATTAAATAAACTAACTAAGTGCATAGTTATGATGAGCATGGTTGCCTCTTCCAAAATTGTGAATTTGGAAATCTTCTTTCTCCTGGATATTAAATAAACTAAGTACATAGTTATGATGAGCAAGAATGCCTCCTCAGAAACTGTGAATTTTGTGGCCCCTGGATGAAGGGTTCTGGTGTTAGGTCGGGGGCTCTATTGATATATAAGGAAAATGCATAAATTCTTTCGAAATCTTCTTCTCTGCTCCTTGGTATTGTTCAAACAAAGGAAGTGCATGGTTATGATAAGGAAGAATGCCTCTTCCAAAATTGTGCAATTCATGGCCCCTGGGTCAGGGGTTCTTCGGGGGGGGGGGGGGGGGCTATTGATTTTATAGTGAAAATGCATAATTTCTTTCAAAATATTTTTTCTACTACTGGTAATAAAGCAAAGAAACAAGTGTATAGTTATGATGAGCAAAGTGCTTCTTCCAGAATTATTAGTTCATGGGTAAGATTTTCTGGTGTAAAGGGGGAGGGGGGCTTTATTTATTTAATAACATAGTGAACATGCATTTCTTTGAAAATCTTGTATTCTTCTGGGCATAATCGAGGAAAACACAGTTAAAGTTTTAATATGCAAGGGTATTTTTACCAGAATTTTGAACACCTGGATTATTTAGTCAAGTATTCTGGTCCTGGCCAGGGCTCTATGAACTTGTATTCTGCTGAGCAAAGTTATTCCCCTTTGCCATTCACCTTTGATAATTAATCACTGTAAATAATGTATTTGAAAGGTTAATAGAATAAAAGAATAAGAGAATTATGCAAGAATATTTATTGTATAATACAAAAAGTACTTTCATAGTTTTAATGATCAGGTAGACTTGGAACAGTCCCTGAAACGTTCTACTTTCCCATTTTTCCGTTCGCTCACCGTTCGTTCACCGTTCGTTCAGCGTGCGTTCACCGTTCGTTCACCGTGCGTTCACCGTTCGCTCTCCGTTCACTGTTTTGCGTTCACCGTTCACCGTGCGCTCGCGTTCACCGTTCACAAAGCGTTCAGCGTTCGCTCTTCGTTCCGTTCACTTTGCGTTCACCTTGCGTTCACCGTTCACCTATCGTTCAGTTTTCATTGTCATTCGGAACTCCGAAGTGAGAGGACTTATCTTTTTGTAGTTAAGGAGTTACAGGTTTTTTTAATTTATTAACTAACATATCGTATTTGAAGAATAATTATTTCATGAGGAAAAATATCTACGATGTATATTTTTATTATTCTAACTTAGCTGTTAGGTTATTTATTAAATTACTCTGGAAAATAAATGTTGTTACAAACACATTCTGTACCTATGTAGAACGATGCTGAAATATTAAATTTAACTAAGGGCAATGTGCAAATACTTCAAGCACTGCAACATTTTGTTGTTTTGTTAAAGACGACAAATCGTTAATGGAGATATAATTATTCAAGTCAAATAATTACGCAGCAAAATTACGAAAATATTTATTTCTAATACGTTTTTTTTCAATTACTACAGAAAATATAATAGAACTAGTTCTGAGAGTTATACATAGTACTGCGGATATCCTGTCAATTTATTATCTTTAGAACGAATTAAATTGATTGTGTGGTTAAAGGAAATATTTATTTAAAATGTAATGCACTACAGAATTTCTCTACTGTAATATGTAAAGTCTATAGTTATAGAGAAAAAAAATCTTTCTTCACCGTAACTTTATATGTTTGCCATTCGATATGATTAATACCCCCCCCCCCTTTCCCCCTAAATCGGTGACTTAGTCAGTACCGTATTTTCAGAATATTTTAATTAACATTAAAAAAAAAAGCTACGGTCTTTTTTAGAACAAAAATTTCAGTCTCAAAACAAACATGCATCTTAAAAAAGTCACAAAACAATGGTAGATCACAATGTACACGTGTCGGCGGTGGTATTTGAAATTGGCAGAGAGTATGTTTCACATTCAAGTGTTAATGCCCAATGTATTTACTAATTTATTATTCAAATGTTGGAATCAAATCTAGAAATGATAATAATAAATGTTATAACTTGTTGGAAATACTCGCACTTCGTCTTCGATGTGACGAAACTTTCACACCTGCACACCTGCACAGTGTCGAATGATTTTGATTGACAGGACAAGCACGTGGAGTTCGTGTGAACTTGAAGCAGGAAAATAAAAACGAGTATGACTGTCAAACAAATGGATATGATTTGTTGATAAAAAAAAAAGTTACTTTCACTGTCTGATATATTTAGAACAAAAATTTCAGAGTTTTTGTTTGATATAGGTACAAACATTTGGTGAAGCCTGAAAGGAGGGGGGGGGGGCTAAAACTGAATATTACTCTCTCTCTCTCTCTCTCTCTCTCTCTCTCTCTTTCATTTGTCTGTTTAATAAAAACTATAACACCATATTACTTAACTATCAAGTTCTGAAAATTGAATGTATAACAATAATATGAATATGTATCTTTGTATCATCTTGTCCGAGTATAATCACGGCCATCTAGAGATACATGTAGACGTCTGCTCAATAAATCATAATGAAAAATAGAAATGACACATAATATATTATTGTATTAAAAGTTTAAAATATGAGCGTATAAATGTAATTATTTTTTTTTTCATAACTTTACACGAAATCGCCTTGACACGGAGATATTTATATATGAATATAAGTTACAACGGCTTTAATTCATTCTATAAATCATAAGTTTTCTCTGATTTGTTATCAAATAAGAATAAACATTTTTATTTTCCAAATAAAAACAATATCTTTTATACTTCAGCGTTCGGCAACAATTGCAATGTTTTAATGCGATAAAAATCGTGTGATTAAAAACTTACCGGTAATGTGCATGCACCGTCTTTCTTAGGACAATTTTGGAGAATTCATTTTATTGACTTATTTATTCATTCATTTATTTGTTTACTTATTTATTATTTGTTTTTTTTTGGCATTATAATACAATAAAATAGTTTCAATGCAAGGAAAAGATCAGAGGCATTCCGAATATATCGTTCATCTTGCGTTCACCGTTCGTTCACCGTTCACTTTGCGTTCGCGTTTGCGCTCCGTTCGCGTTCTGCGTTCGCTCACCGTTCACCGTTCACACATCGTTCACCAAGTTGCGTTCAGCGTTCACACATCGTTCACTCACCGTTCGCTCTGCGTTCGTTCAGCGTTCGTTCACCGTTCGTTCAGCGTTCGCTCACCGTTCAAGTGGGAAAGTAGAACGTTTCAGGG